ATGGGGGTGAGGGAGGAGGTATGGGGGCAGGTGTAGCACTTCCTGCGGTTGCAGGGAAAAGTGCCAGGTGTGGTGGGGCTGGAGGGGAGTGTGGAGCGGACAAGGGAGTCACGGAGCGAGTGGTCCCTCCGGAAAGCAGATAAGGATGGGGAGGGAAAGATGTCTTTGGTGGTGGAGTCGGATTGCAGATGGCAGAAGTGTCGGAGGATAATGCGTTGGATCCGGAGGTTGGTCGGGTGGTACGTGAGGACGAGGGGGATTCTTTTTTGGTTCTTATTGCGGGGACGGGGTGTGAGGGATGAGTTGCAGGAATCCTTGTTATCTCGGATTCTCCAGCATCTGCAGTTCCTACTATCTCTGCCCTGTTGACACACCAACTTGTCAACAATGATCAGCGACATTTTAAATATCCTGACTGTGAGACGACCTGTAAAAACAGAAATTACCTGCTGCAGCACCAACATGCACACAGAAAGGACATTCAATTGCTCTGCATGTGGGAAGCAACTGAAATATCTATTTAATCTTTCAACAGGTTCACATGGGGGAGAGGCCACTCACCTGCTCCATGTGTGTATCATCCAATCTGCTTCGACACTAAGGTATTCACAAATGATTGCAGGAATGACCATATTCCACGTGATTGTTAAGGGTAATCACATTGAGAACTAGACAATGTTAATATTGCTTGTCGGTGTTTGATTCTGCAAATGTCAGTAACTAGTTTGGAGTTTAATAGGCTGCATAAATACTAAACAACTCAGCTTTGTATCAAACATGCAATGTGTGATATTTTAAAGTTTTTGAGAAGATTTGTAGCTCAGGTTGTGGATGAGGTTATAGACTTGCTTGCCGAGCCAGTGTGTTTGATTGCAGACTTTTCATCACCCTGCTAGGTAACATCATCGGTGCACCTCCTGTGAAGCATTGGTGTTCTGTCCCACTTGTTATTTATATGCCTCAGTTTGCTGGGGTGGTTGGCATTATTTCCAGTTCTGTTTTTCAGTGGTGTGTATATTGGCTCCAGTTCAATGTGTTTGTTGATGGAGTTCCAGTTGGAATGCCAGGCCTCCAGGAATTCCCTGGTATGTCTCTGTTTAGTTCATGCTATTATGGGTGCATTGTCCCAGTCGAATTCGTGTCCTTCTTTGTCCGTGTATATTGAAACTAGTGAGAATTGGTCGTGTCTCTTGGTGGCTAATTGGTATTCGTGTATCCTTGTCAGTTTTCTTCCAGTTTGGCCTATGTAATGTTTCTCACAGTACTTGCATGGTATTTTGCATATTATGTTACTTTTATTGGTTGTAGGTATGGGATCCTTTACATTCGTCAGTAGCCGTCACAGGATGGTTGTTGGTTTGTAGGCTACCCTGATGCCTAGGGGTCTGAGTAGTCATGTGGTCATCTCTGATATGTCTGTGATGTACAGTAGGGTGACTACTGTGTCTGGCCGTGTTGTGTCGTCTTGTTGTGGTCTGTTGCTGAGGTAACAGCGGATTGTGCTTTTTGGGTATCCATTCCTTTTAAAAACCCCATATTAGTGCTCCTGTTCTGCTTTGCGCAATTCCAGGTTGCCAACACTGCTCACTCCATCCACTCCTCCCAAGAATTCCTCAACATCGTCAAGGACACCAGAATAGAAGAGGACGAGATAATGATATCCTTCGCTGTAACAGCACTGTCACAGGGCGGCACGGTGGCTCAGTGGTTAGCACTGCTGACTCACAGCGTCAGGGACCCAGGTTCAATTCCACCCTTGGGTGAATGTCTGTGTGGAATTTGAACATTCTCCCCGTGTCTGCGTGGGTTTCCTCCAGGTGCTCCGGTTTCTTCCCACAGTCCAAAGATCTGCAGGGTAGGTGGATTTCCATGCTAAATTGCCCATAATGTCCAGGGATGTTTAGGTTAGGTGGATTAGACATGGGAAATGTGGAGGTAGGGGAATGGGTCTGGGTGGGATGCTCTTCGCAGGAGCGATGTGGACTTGTTGGGGTGAATGGCCTGTGTCCACACTGTGGCGATTCTGTGATTATTTACGCCCATAAACATCGACCTATCCAAAGAGATAATTGCCACACTGCTGGACAAATCAGGAAGGCAAGCATCCCATGACACAAACAGCATCAACAAGGACAGCACCCTGAAACTGTTGGATCTGTGCCTCCCAACCCACTTTACCTTCAATGACTGTATATTCAAACAACGTAGATGACACCTTCATGATTAACAAATGCACAAGACTGGAAGAAACTCATCGACATATAGCCAAAATCCTCACGGGAATAAAATTCACAAAAGAAGAAGAGAACAATAACAGACTACCCTAGACATAAGGTAGAACGTAAGAACAACGGGGAATTCCAGACTAGCCTATACAGAAAGAACAGATACTTAATTACTCCAGCAATCACCCTAACACTCATAAACCGAGCTGCATCAGGACATTATTCAAACAGGCCACAACACACTGCAGCAACCCGGAATTGCACAAAACAGAACAGGAGCGCTTCTACTGAGTTTTTAAAAGGAATGGATACCCAAAAAGCACAATCTGCCATTACCTTCGCAACAGACCAAAACAAGAAGACACAACACGGCCAAACACACGAGTCACCCTACCATACGTCAGGGACATAGCAGAGATGACTACAAGACTACTCAGACCCCTAGGAATCACAGCAAAAACAAAGCTGCTGGAAAAGCTCAGCAGGTCTGGCAGCATCTGTGAAGGAGAAAACAGAGTTAACGTTTCGGGTCCAGGGACCCTTCCTCAGAACTGATGGTGGCTGGGAAAACGACAATTTATATGCAGAAAATAGGGAGGTGGGTGGTGTAGGGAATAAATGATAATTTAGAGCCCAAAGGGAGAGAAAGACAGTTGGACAGACAAAGGAGTTGCTAATGATCAGGCTGGGACGGTGAGTAGTTGTTAATGGGGACTGTTAGTGACTAACAACAGGGGGTGTGTAATGGCAGGCTATGTGCTAACGAGACCTGGTGTGTGGGGTGGGGGGCTGGGACATGGGAGAGTTTAGGCCCTAGGAATCAGAGTAGCCTACAAACCAACAACCACCCTTTGACAGACCCACAACCAATAAAACTAACCTAATATACAAAATACCATGCAAACATCACATAGGCCAAACTGGAAGAAAACTGACAATAAGGATACACAAACACCAATTAGCCACCAAGAGACACGACCAATTCTCACAGTCTCAATACACACAGACAAAGGACTGAATTTGACTGGAAACAACGCATCCATCATAGTATGAGTCAAGCAGAAACATGCCAGGGAATTCCTGGAGGCCTGCATTCCAACCGGAACTCCATTAACAAACACGTTGAACTGGAGCTAATATATGAACCACTGAAAAACAAAACCAGAAGTAATGCCAACCACCCCAGCAAACCGAGGCATATACATAACAAGTGGAACAGAACAGCAATGGTTCACCGGAGGTGCACTGACGATGTTACCTAGCAGGGTGACGAAACGTTTGCAACCAAGCACACCAGCTGATGAGCAAGTCTACAACCTCAATGTGTGAAGTGTTTCTGTTCTCGCAGGAAAGAGGACACTAATTTAAATTCTATTAATGACTTGTTCCATTTCTTTTCTGCTCACAAAAGATTTACATCTCTGTTACACTTTTCATGACATCAGGTTGTCCCAAAGCATGTTGGGGCTAATATTTTTGTTCTCAAAGTGGAATAATTGTTGTGATGTAGGAAATAGCAAGATCCCAGGTCCAGTAAAATGATTGGGCCCAGATAATCTGTTCCAATGATGTTGACTGAGAGATCGATATTAGTGAAGGCTCTGGTCAGAGTTCCCCTCTCTTCAAAACAAAATTGAATGAATTTTAATGAAGTTTTCATTTAAAAGATGGGACTTCTGACAGTGCTGTGCTTCCTTAGAATGCCAGTGAAATTTGTCAACATCTGCAGCCTCCTTATTCTTATGTAGATGATGGACATGCAACAAATGAAATCCACTGGGAATGGAGAAAGCTTCTTATGCCTTAATGATTGCTGAAGAGACCAATCCGTGAAAGGCAGGTCCAGCAATGAGTGTCACAGAAGTGGTTCTCCGTTGTCTGTGCAGGTTGTTGTTTTTGGTGTTGGTGCCTTTTGCTAAATCACTGTAACCACCAGGGAAGGAATTGATCAAAGACAAAAAGATCCGATATTTATTTGTGATGAGGATTCATTGCTTTTTTTATGCTCTGTACTGAATGCAGATGTTTCACAGCCACTTCAAATGAGTCGAATTATTCCATACTAGTTTTCCTCTTTATTTTCTATTTTAGTGCAGTCTCTGGACCAGTGCATTTGTATTAGCATTCAGTGTCGTTAGTTCATAGTAGTAATACAGGATGAGGTCTGTACGAACATGAAAGCAGGCCTGAATGGATCATGTATACATGAAGCAAAGGATTTGCTCATTGTTTCAGAAACTGCTCTCCAATGTGACCCCACTTTAACAAACCACAAACTTTGAGAGGAACTAGGAATGGACAACACATGCTGGCTTTGTCAACAATGTCCACATCAATATATGAGAACACAACTCGATATCAATATGCTGTTGCAGTGCTTTGTAAAAGTGCTGAAATTTCATTTAACTTTAGGTGAAGCCACCTCAGTGCAGCACCTCACCTCCACCTGCTACACACATTATAATCAACTATTTTCCCTACTACATATATGCATTGTAATCAACCCCTCTTCCCCTACTACATAAACATTGTGATCAGCCCCTCTCCTTTACTATACTTACATTGTAATCAGCCCTTCACCCAAAATACTCATGAGACATTGTAATCAGTCCGTCTGCTGCACCATACAGGCGCACATTGTAATCAATCACTCCCATCACACATCTACATTGTAATCAGCCCCTCTTCCCTAATGAATGCACACAGATTGTAATTAGCCTCTCATACATTAAAATCAGCACATCCCTCATGACACATGGGTTTTAATTTTCCCCTCTTGCCCACTAAATATACACACACTGCAATCAGCTAGACCCACATACTGGCTGGCACAGTGTCTTAATGGTTAGTACTGCTGCCTCGCAGCACCAGGGACTTGGGTTCAGTTCCAGCCTCGGGCAACTGTCTGTGTGGAGTTTGCACATTCTCCCAGTTCAGCCTGGCTTCCCTCTGGGTGCTCTGGTTTCCTATCACAGTCCAAAGATGTGCGCATTAGGTGGATTGCCCGTGCTAAATTGCCCATGGTGTCTAGGGATATGTAGGTTGTGGTAATGTGGTGACCAGAACTGTATGCAATATTCCACGTGTGGCCTAACTAAAGTTCTTCTAAGCTACAGCATAACTTGTCTATTGTTATACTCAATGCCTCTTCTAATGAAGGCAAGCATGCCATAGGCCTTTTTTACTCCTTATCTACTTGCGCTGCCACTTTCAGTGATCTGTGGACCTGCATACCCAGATCTCTCTGCATTATCAATACTGCTAAGGGTTCTGCCATTCACTGTATAAATTCCAAATGTACTTGACCTTCCAAAATGTATCACCTCACATTTGTCCGGATTAAACCCCATATGCCATTTTTCTGTCCATGCCTCCAA